AAATTTCGTTTGGGTGAGAATGGGAGTCGTTAGAAGTACAGATGAAATTTCGATTTAAAGAGTTTAAATCTACATCAATATAGATGGCGCCGGCTCTGACAGTCACCAAGCCTCTGTACGGAATGCCCTACTCCTACGGGTTTTTCCCTGCTCCTCTAAAGCGGAACTGGGCCGTGATTATTATGGCGCTCTGAATACACACTCACTGCTTAGACGCCAAACTGCGTTGGTTGGGAAAACACCATGAGTGGGCCTACAGCCGGCCCCGCTTCGGGGGCTCTAGCAACCACCAGGCTTCTGCACAGAATATACTACTCCTACTGGTGTCTTTCTCCTTCTCCTCTAAAGCGAGACTGGGCCGTGATTGTTATGGCGCTCTGAATACACACTCACTGCGGAGTCACACACGCTTTCCATTTTAAAAATGTCATATATCCTTCCATGCCATAAAGAGGGCCCTGCGTAGGGCTCATAAGAGGTCGCAATGGATAAGGACCATGTTGAGGCATTAATAAAAGAACAGAAATTTCACAGTCTTAGATGATCTCATTACTATAAACTCTCCTAAGTCGAAGGGCTTCACTTCTTCGAGCGCAACTGTAACGACCGACCTCGTAGAGGGTTCAGTGGCCGTTGCCTCCTGGAATCTCCTGGTCTGATGCGCCTTTCCCTTTTTTGAGTACCATTCATCTCGGCCTTCGAGATATCTATAATCAAACGTAACACTCCAATCACACGATAATCCGGACTATATAACAAGTGTTTATTGTAAAAATCGGAGTGAAACGTGAGTATTTGGAAGAAGAGAGGGACGATCGGCGCAAAAAAGCGCTATCTTCACAATTTTCCGGGGAGAGGATGGAGTTGGGAGCTTCCATCGGGGAAGAGGGATCTGTTTCTTCACGCACTTCAAGTGGGAAAGAGGAAAGCGAAAAACAGTTCCAGGTCAGGCACCTCTCTACTCGAATTTGGTGCTACAAACCATTAAAACAAAATCGGGGCATACTCCCTCACGTCTGTCCGCTACATCATATTTAAAAAATGCAATTTTCTATAAAATGATGATAAGTTATGCGTACGCTTTCTATAAATTATGTTTGATTTTATAGGGACACCAAGTCTAAATGGATAATAATTATACTATATGAGTGGCCATTTTTATCCAGTATAATTGTTTCGGGCGGCTAGAAAGACGCCCATTCAAAAGCCGACATCCTGGCGTGGCTGAAATATCTTTGAATTATGCTGCATAAAAATCAATACTACAAAGTCGCCCAAGTAACCCCCTCTGATCGAAATGACATATCAGAATTTCGATTTAGGTCAGCCACTCCGTCTGATCACGGCAAAAGGAGGGTAGCGGTGACCTCTTTCACCTTTACGTTAGCCTACTGCTAGTTCTCGAAAATATTGTCCTTATTTGCATAACCTAGCTTCGGACACTATTCGTAGAGTATTTAAAGTCACTGAAAATGCAGTGACCAGATTTTCACCCTAATAGGCATTTATTTTTAAAAATGTTGGCTACACTGTGCGCAGCCCGTACTGAACAC